CTGTTTACGAAATGAATTGTCTCTAGTAGAACTGCACTGAACTTTGATGAGAAATGTTTCGGAAAATATTGAGTGCAACATTGTTTGAGATTATTTTTCTAGTTGGTTGTATTAGTCCCCGATCTGATTCCCAAAAGGGCTCTAGAAAAGGGGTTTTGTTGTCTGGTAGTTTCCCACATAAAATGATTATACCGTTTGAAAGAACAGACTTCCCTCTTAAAGAAAGATGTAAACAGGGGCAAAAGGCACCAAAACGGGGTTAGACAAGGTGGCATTCTGAAGTCTCACTTTCTTGTCATCACGATACCAGGTAAACCATTAGACGGATTTACTTCAAATTTTCACACATGTTATATGGTAAGAAGTTCTAGTGCTGATTAACTTTGCGGCGGCCATCTTGCATTCTGGCGGCCATCTTGGAATTTTTTTCAGATAAATATTGTCATCGCAATTCCACAAAAACCACATAACAGATGTACTTCACATGTTCACACATGTAACATGGTAAAAAGTCCTAGACCTCATTATTTTTTCGGTGGCCATCTTGCATTCTGGCAGCCATCTTGGAAGTTTAAAGATAAATCTTGTCATCACAATTTCAGGAAAACCAAACGGATTTACTTCAAATTTTCACACAAATTACATGGTAAGAAGTTCTAGAGCTAATTAACCTTTCGGTGGCCATCTTGCATTCTGGCGTCCATCTTGGAAGTTTTTTGGATAAATCTTGTCATTGTGATTCCAGGAAAACCACTTTACTGATTTTCTTGAAACTTTTACACATGTTACAAGGAAGGTTACATGCTACCTTTTATATTGATATAAACAGGGGCAAAAGGCAGTAAAGTGGGGTTACACAAGGTGGTATTCTAAGGAGAATGTTATCTATTTTTCTATATTTTAAACCACATAATTTGACATAAATGCATATTTGGTGTATGATATCATGTTTTATATTGATAGAAACATGGGCACTACAATGGGGTAACACATGGTGATATTCTAAAATACATATTTTTACTCTGCTTCTGTACTTTATACCACTTGAATGCATTTTGTGTATGACATCGATTGATTTTTAGAATAAATAACTACATTTCATCAAAAAGAAAAAAGATGATTGAAAACGTCAAACATTTCTTTGAAATCCATTATTGCACAGTGATTTTTGAGAGCGAAATGTATGCTAAATTGGCCTTGATCTGAGTATATAATGGAATTAAAGCTCTTTTAAACGAAAATGTAAATGTGTGGAAAACCTTTCACTGTACATCATGTCAACGAAATGTTCTTCATGCAGTTGAATTATCTTCTGGACAGGTGATCACACAGAAGGAGAGACCTGCGTATCATATCCTTACTAAATATAAACAAAAATGACAAATGAGAAACGAAAAAAGTGTAAAGCAACCTAGTGGGAAAAGCAAACTGTAAAGTGTAAAACTGGCAAACAAAAATCAAACCTGAATATCCCAAGACAATAATCTAATATGGGAATAAACAGCATCCACACCGTTCAATGACCAATTCCTCATCAACGACCACAACTCCGAGGGACATTCCATTCATACTGAAGTCATTAAAATACATGTTGAAGAAAAATTGAAAATAATGATATCCAATACTCATAAGATCAAAAATAGTTGTAGATACTATAGTACTCATAAAAGCTGCAGATAACGTTTCTTCATCGGGAAAGCAAGTTGTCTCTTAGTCAGATATTAACTAACGAGCTGGTTCAGAGCACCAGCATGTCAAACTATGTGAATGGGCTCTGTATCCACAATGTTGCGAGTTCGAGACACATGTGCTCAAAAATCACTTAAACCTGCACTAAAACTGTGTGTCAGATCGATATAAGTATGGAATGTACTAAAAACCCTTCGACCCTACAACCTACGACTTACAGGGTGTCAAGAATTTTTGGAATATATTTTTATAAAAACCCTGTGACCTTCAATTTCTCAGTCCATATGAAGTTGCTGGAAATATTACTATGTTTATAGAACTTCAGAATCGGTCCCTGGGGAGTGTAAGATATTTGTTGTATTCAAGCACATAATTTTGAATGTGAACGTTTCTTACCTCCTCAGTAAAAATATTTGTGCTTTTCCCATCACATTGTAACAGTGGAAGGAAAATCGCCATTCAGCTGATTCCAAATCGAGTCAGCCCCGATAAGGACAACTCACTTCAACTAAATGTCCAGCGAACCTGTCTAGTAGAGACCCAGACACACTTATATGAAGGGACATAGACCACTCGCGTCATAACTTATAAAATTACACCGTGAAATCTGAAAATACATGTTCAAGTTGAAAACAACAGTTCAAACTGCCTACCGAACTACGTAGTGATTTTTATTCGATTGTTTCAAGGGGTCTTCAAAATTCTCGCAATGAAAGTTGCAATTACCCTACTTATATAGAAGTCGCGTGATCGAAACCTATTTAAATCGTAAAAAGAAACTATACTTTATGTCTCTGCCAAGTATAAAGTGTAAATATTCTGTAGTTTTTGCAGGATTAGAATATCTATTCGGGAAGTGGGGATTCTGGACATATGCCGTGATTTTTTTAATCAACGGCGCGTAGTGATAATCGTGACGTCATATTTTGGTTTGGCCGCCCAGCTGAGTGAAAACTATTTCACTCTAACGATCGTTATAGCTGCTTAACAAGCAATATTCGAATTGGTTGTGACGTTATTGGCCCCCACGTGATCTCTCACTGGTCCCCACGTGGCCCGTTTTGGTCCATTAGATCAAGACGTCATAATGCCAAAATGTTTTGTTATTTGTTTACACAACAATCTATGGTTGCCGTGACGTTGTGATTACTGTGGAACCAATAAACCAAAGCTATATTTTGTATATGACGTTACTAATCACGTGGGGGCCAATTTGATTTATCAGTTAGTTTTGTTTCGTTATCTATGACCGTTAGCAGTTATCTAACATTTATTTCATGATGGCTAACTCTACGGTGGGCTTACAATGGAAAAAACGTATTTTTGTAGCTGCAAGTTGAGAAAAGCTATTTCAGTTGTCCTTTAAATATAAAAAATCGTGCCAAAGCATATTACTCTTCCCAGTTACAGCAACTTAGAATTTTGACGCACATCAAATTGTCTGCTATTTCCGATTCTGATTGAACGAAACGTGATGGTACGTGATGGTACGTTCAGACCCTTGGGGTTGCTTTTTGGAAGTGACTGTTTTTTCTGATTTGCTTAAAATCTTGCAAGCAAAGGAATGCACTTAAACAAATAATCTAATCCTTATGGCCAAGTCTACCCTTTGCATTCGTTTGACTTCACTTCTTAAAAGAGAGCTTCGTCTTCACTCTTTCAAACTAAAATAAACCTGTGAACTCACCGCGCCAATCAGTGTTCGTCGGCCAAATTTGACCGATGTTCTATATATTGTGGGAAATTTTTGATTCCTTATAGGGGCTCCTCCTTTTACTTTTTTTAATAACCTGCGCACTGGGATGCGCAGAAGTTCAAAAGTTGTAATTGCGATTCCAAACAATTCTGTTCATTCAACGTCCACTGATTTCGTCAATTGTAAGTACAACCTGCCCTAATTTGAGCTTCTTGTAGTAATATTACGATAATTGAACAGTTAATCTTTAATTAGACGCTTTCAAATTGTAAATTGATCAAGTAGTTTCTTCATAGATCGTCATTAAAATTATCGGTAAAATTAGAAATTGCCACGCCATTACTTTCGATCATTTTCGGCGCTAATTCAGTTCTCAAACTTTAATGTAGTGTCATTCATGTATCATATTACTTTGTATTCTGTTTACATGTTATTACAGTTATATCTTACATGCATAAATAACCAGGTTTAGTGCCAAATCCCTATCACTATTATTTATTGCGGGAGTGGGTGGGATTTTTTACATTATATCACATTGCGTAGTAATCTTATTAAGTAGTTCATAGCGGGAGGGGGGGGAATTTTCACAGTGTCGCATTGCGTAGTGGAAGAACGAAGGTCGCCATCTTGAAGGAAGCAGCGTGAATGAAAGGTTGGGAGAAAATCCACACTTATCACACTCTGGAGTAGCCATCAGCCAGTGATTCGGGATTAATTAAGAAGGATAAAGCAGGAAGACACACCAGGAAGTTTCTGAAGGAGAACCAAGAGAGGAAACCTGAATTTTTGGGAACTTAGAGAAAGCAACATTTATTCGGGTGAGGTTTTTCCTTTTTGTAATTTGATTTTATGGCCAGTATGCTACTAGATGCCTCTGACTGACTATAATTTTGATTTCATGTGTACCAGAATTTGTAACTTCATGGCCAGCATGCTACTGAGATGCCTCTGACTGACTGTTAGTTTCTAATTCATCGGGTATTGAGATCTACTGTGTGTCGCCATTTTGTGTCCCAGGCTTTCTAGAGTGAGTTATTTGTCAGATTGAATGTATAGCAACACTGTGTCATTGATTGCCTTAGTGGGTCCCTGACGGAGTATGTTAGAGTAGCTTCATATTTCAATTTCAAAGTGTTGTCAAGAATTTTTCAGAGTCCAGTGCTGTTCTTGAGCAACAAGGAACAATCTGGAAGCAACCTTGCATTATAGTTAGTTCGGTTTCACCACTAGCTGTAAGGAGCCATTGAGAAACCTCCCAACGGGGCGACCTATTTTTGTCAGTTCGGTTTCACCACTGACGATAAATAGTTCCAAGAAGACTTCCATCGCATCGAGCAGTGAGGAGCCTCCCCGGAAATCTAAAGAGCCAGAAGAGTCAAGTAAAGAGTCACGGTGAACTATTTTAGTCAGTTCGGTCTCACCACTGACGATAGATAGTTCCAGGAAGACGTCTATAGCAACGAGCGGCTAGGAGTCTTCCCAGTATCAAGGAGCAGAGTAAAGAGCCACGGCGAACTATTTTTGTCAGTTCGGTTTCACCACTGGCGATAGATAGTTCCAGGAAGACGCCTATAGCAACGAGCAGCTAGGTGTCTTCCCAGTAAGAATAGAAGCTGAGCAAAGAGCCAGAGGAGCCAGGCTAAAGAGCTGAACGAAGAGCCAGAGGAGCCACGTTCAGGAGCCAGAGGAGCCAAGCTCAAGAGCCAGAGGAGCCAGGCTAAAGAGCCCAAAGAGCTGAACGAAGAGCCAGAGGAGCCACGTTCAGGAGGCAGAGGAGCCAAGCTCAAGAGCCAGAGGAGCCATGCTAAAGAGCCCAAAGAGCTGAACGAGGAGCCAGAGGAGCCAAGCTCAAGAGCCAGAGGAGCCAGGCTAAGGAGCCAAAGAGCTGGACGAGGAGCCAGAGGAGCCAAGTCCAGGAGCTAAAGAGCCAAGCTTAAGGGCTAGAAGAGCCAGGCTTAAGAGTCAAAGAGCTGAACGAGGAGCCAAGTTCAGGAGCCAGAGGAGCCAAGCTCAAGAGCCAGAGGAGCCAGGCTAAGGAGCTAGAGGAGCCAGGCTAAAGAGCCAAAGAGCTGGACGAGGAGCCAGAGGAGCCAAGCTCAAGAGCCAGAGGAGCCAGGCTAAAGAGCCAAAGAGCTGGACGAGGAGCCAGAGGAGCCAAGTTCAAGAGCAATAGGAGCTGATCAAAGAGCCAGAGGAGCCAAGCTTAAGAGCCAGAGGAGCCAAGGTAAAGAGCCAAAGAGCTAAACAAAGAGCAAGAGGAACCAAGTTCAAGAGCCAGAGGAGCCAGGCTACAGAGCCCAGGGAGCCAAGCAAAGAGCTAACAACGCAGCAGCGGCCAATATCAATCCTACAAAGAGAATTATAGTGACATTTTAGTTTATGAACATTAAAGTGTGTTATTTTCCTGTATTAATAGTTGTGTAGAAATATATGTATTAAATTTGAAGCCATTTGTGACTGTCGTTTTATCCAGTCCACCAAACCAGGACTGGGCCCACAAAGAAGTGTAACGTAGAAAAGTTACTCATCGCTTCCAGACTATCAGCAAAAGTCTGGAACGCGACAATATGGTCATTCCTTCTGACGTCATCATTGAGCCTGAAATTGACCAATGACATGCATATATTTAATTAGAACGCATTTGGCGTATGTTTCTTCAAGTTCTCTGATTGTTGGAAGAAAGGTCAGCGCGTAGGTTAAAACTGTCACCAGTACCCGTCGTGGGGGCGGGGCTACTAAACTGTAATATGGTCTCTTCTAGGCAGAGTGTAGTTTAACTAGACTTTGCACGCAGGGTAGGCCTAGTCTGAATTAGTGTGTTTGTTAATTTCCGGCCGATGGGCATAGAAGATAATCATTCATTTTCAGTTATTCATGTTCTTTCTGGTCAAATATAGAGTAAAAGTCATCAATCCATTAATTATGAGAACTATTTCTTTAATTATCGGTGATTTAAGCTTTTTAATGGTGTATAAAACTTAGTACATTGGTCTTATATTTCTAGAGATATTGTAATTTGAAAAGAGTGTTTTTCAGCGCGATTCTTATATTCCTTACGCAATTCAGCTGCACTATTCACACCTTTGATTGATAGGCTCACAGTAGATTATGAATTCTTTGAAGTGACAATGTTTTCACATGTACAAACCTTCCTTACTCATAAATATTCATATCGTCATAGTTACATTTCCTTTTATGACCAGAGATTCTAGAGTTCTCAAGATTTCGACTAAGTCTAATAACCATCATATTTGTAATGTGTGTGGGGTTGGTAACAAGAGGACTGGGTACCAACTATGTTTCCATTGAAAGAGTACGTACAAAACATTTTCCGATTAGGTAGATTAAATCCTACGGGGAGCTCAAGTTGGAACTATACATAATCATTTAGAAAACTGGACTGGGAAATCAGAGGTCGAAGGGTTTTTCAGAATAATATGTTCCAAAAATTCTTGACACCCAGTAAGTCGTAGGGTCGAAGGGTTTGGAAACTAATTGTACCAACAAAAAGAACTTAAAAAACACTGCTACAATAATATCAGGCCTGTCAACTGTCCCGCAATTTGCGTATTTGTCACGCATTTGCTGATGATTTGAAGTCACGCCAGTTATTTTTGCGTGACAGAAAATGTCACGCAAATACGCATTTTACCTGGTAATTGTCAAGCAAAAATATTTCTGTAAAAAAATGTCTAAAAAAGTTCGTCTACACAGCAAAAATACGAACGCCGAAAAAAAAACGTACGCATTTCGTTCGGACTTTTTCCGCGAATTACGTATATGTCACGCATTCTGTTCGAAATTTTTCGTACCTACCCTTTATGTAACTTAAGTTCTAGGAATTAAATCGACGATTCTGTCGTCTTCTGAGCTATTTTTGGCAAACATGTACAAAATGTATAAAATGATGTTATAGTTCAAGTTGAACAGAGTGGTGATGTCTTGTGTCATCTCGGGATGACACGTCTTCGGACGAGACACTATTCGGGTGAGATCCTCTTCGGATGAGCGGCACGAAATAAATTTTTCTTCCAAAATTGAAATTAATGGTATAAAATGATTTTATAGTTCAAGTTGAACAGAGTGGTGATGTCTCATGTCATCTCGGGATGACACGTCTTCTGACGAGACACTATTCGGGTGAGATCCTCTTCGGATGAGCGGTACAAAATAAAATTTTCTTTCCAAAATTGAAATTAATGGTATAAAATGATGTTATAGTTCAAGTTGAACAGAGTGGTGATGTCTCGTGTCATCTCGGGATGACACGTCTTCGGACGAGACAATATTCAGGTGAGATCCTCTTCGGATGAGCGGTACGAAATAAATTTTTCTTTCCAAAATTGAAATTAATGGTATAAAATGATGTTATAGTTCAAATTGAACAGAGTGGTCATGTCTCGTGTCATCTCGGGATGACATGTCTTCGGACGAGACACTATTCGGGTGAGATCCTCTTCGGATGAGCGGTACGAAATAAATTTTTCTTTCCAAAATTGAAATTAATGGTATAAAATGATGTTATAGTTCAAGTTGAACAGAGTGGTCATGTCTGGTGTCATCTCGGGATGACACGTCTTCGGACGAGACACTATTCGGGTGAGATCCTCTTCGGATGAGCGGTACAAAATAAATTTTTCTTTCCAAAATTGAAATTAATGGTATAAAATGATGTTATAGTTCAACTTGAATAGAGTGGTGATGTCTCGTGTCATCTCGGGATGACACGTCTTCAGAAGAAGACACTCTTAGGATGAGATCCTCTTCGGACGGGCTGTACGAAATAAATTTTTCTTTCGAAATTTGAAATTTATGGTATAAAATGATGTTATAGTTCAAGATGAACAGAGTCGTGATGTCTCGTGTCATCTCGGGATGACACGTCTTCGGACGAGACACTCTTCGGGTGAGATCCTCTTCGGATGAGCGGTACGAAATAAATTTTTCTTTCGAAAATTGAAATTAATGGTATAAAATGATGTTATAGTTCAAGTTGAACAGAGTGGTGATGTCTCGTGTCATCTCGGGATGACAAGTCTTCGGACGAGACACTATTCGGGTGAGATCCTCTTCGGATGAGCGGTACGAAATAAATTTTTCTTTCGAAAATTGAAATTAATTGTATAAAATGATGTTATAGTTCAAGTTGAACAGAGTCGTGATGTCTCATGTCATCTCGGAATGACACGTCTTCGGACGAGACACTATTCGGGTGATATCCTCTTCGGATGAGCGGTAAGAAATAAATTTTTCTTTCGAAAATTGAAATTAATGGTATAAAATGATGTTATAGTTCAAGTTGAACAGAGTCGTGATGTCTCGTGTCATCTCGGGATGACACGTCTTCGGAAGAAGACACTCTTAGGATGAGATCCTCTTCGGATGAGCGGTACGAAATAAATTTTTCTTTCGAAAGTTGAAATTAATGGTATAAAATGATGTTATAGTTCAAGTTGAACAGAGTGGTGATGGCTGGTGTCATCTTGGGATGACACGTCTTCGGACGAGACACTATTCGGATGAGATCCTCTTCGAATGAGCGGTCAAAATAAATTTTTCTTTCGAAAGTTGAAATTAATTGTCAAAAATTCAAATTAATGGTGAAATGTTATAAGAATGGATAAAAATGAGCTAAAAAATGATACATCTACCTGACAAGGAATTGGCAGTTGAATAGAAAGATTATGTGATATATTTTTAAAAAAAAGATAACTTCAGCGACCATTTTTAAACAGTTTCTGTTTAAAAGCCATCATTCTGTCTTACCCCTCGTTCCGTCTTACCCCGCTCTCCAGGGATTTAGGACTTTCCAGGGAATTAGTTCATCTATTTCATATCATGTGACCATGAATAAGCCAATGAGCATCTAGAATACATATCAGGTATATAATAAAGGGGGATAATATTAATATCTGATTTGTATATGAATGTGTTCATGATAGGATGTCATCAAATTATTACTTACCCACTTATTTTGTTGTTAGCTTCACTACTCAAAGCTGTACAAATAAAATTGTGTATTACACTGACTTATTAGTAAATGTATTTGTTTTAGAAGATCCAATATCACTGTATCACGCGGTAGTATCTCTTCGGGACGTATCGAAACCACTCCGTCCCGAAAAACCATTAATTTTAATTTAAAACCTACCCCAGTGTTTGAAAATCAAGGATTGTGAGTCTCACACTTCACCGTTTTTCTTCAAACTTGTTCCGTACAAAGCTTCACAGAAATACCTTTCAGTCGATACATTGTCTTCGTGTACAAAGTACCTCGTTTTAGCGGCGTTTTGGTCCCCAGCTGTGAGATAAAGCAAATTTTCATAACTTTCAACTGTAAGTCAAGTTATCTCGCCAGTCTTTTACCCATTCTCGCCCATAATTTCAGAATGGACTCCCATTACAATCTTCCATCGCTACGTCTTGATTTTTGGGCATCAAACGCAGCAGTTTCTAAATCATCCACACATCTCTTCAAATTTGACCAATACGTCCCGTCATCTTCCACTACGCCCCGCCGAGTCTATCACTATACACCTGTACACGTAGAGTTGCATTCTAAAACAATTTGTCCATATTAATCCAGCTCTGCCTGGGTCTCAATTGTGGCTAAATGGGGCATGTATTGTAAATGATCACAGCTCCTGAACCAGTTAACTGTTTGTATTGAAACTTTCAGGAACAAATTTCCATAGAACAGTTCTGGTTTGTGCAAAATTTCATTGATGTCACTTATCTAGTTTAGGAGATATTGCCTATTTCTACAGTCTCCTTTTTTCCGGTCACCCTGTACTTTTGCGAGGAATCCAGGCCCGTCGCTCGCCCCCCCCCCCCCTTCCTACTAAAAGTACTTTCAAAATTTGGCAAAAAATGTCAAAAGTGAACCCCCACCCTGTAATTTCTTAAAAATTTGTGAACCCCCTTGGCAAATCCTGGCTACGGGCGTGGAATCTTACATCATGTTAATTCAGAGGATACACGTGTGCAGGTTGAGATTTGACATACTGTAAACGTATAATGTAAACCACGAATAAAATATTGACATGCGAATCGAAGCCTATGTGATCGAGTTACTTTGATCACCTACACTGATTGGTGACAACAACTGCCATGCTAATGTTTAATCACCCGTGTGAAGCGTTTGTTCTTACCATTAACTCAGAGACATATAAAATGTCTCTGCTTCCTCATAATGGCGGTAAAATGAAGTATGCTACCTTCCCATTGAAGAGTTCAACTAATTTCGTCCAGTGCAATCAGTGAAAATTGAATCAGTGAAATGTACCGGTGTAAAAGAAATTATGGTCCCCTGGGGATTATGGTCCCCTTTCTTAACGGCCCTTACTGGCCCCGATTGTGTATAAATAATAAAGAAAATATTTGTAATTAGGTCACCATATAAATCAATAGAGACTAGGACCATAATTTGAGAGGACCACCTACCCTTTTACACCTACCCTTTTACACCGGTGTAAAAGCGTAGGTGGTCCTATCAAATTATGGTCCTAGTCTCTATTGATTTATATGGTGACCTGATTACAATTATTTTCCTTATTATTTATACACAAT